CATGTTTTTTGAGAACTTATAGACTCACCTGTTTATGTGTCTTATAAAAAAATACAAAATTTTACCAATAAAATAAAAATAAAATAAATAAAAAATATAAATAAAATAAACTTAAACTAAAATAAAATTAAAATAAAATTAAATAAAATTAAAATATAATTAAATAGGCAAATTAGATATTATTTAAATTATAAATAGGGGTTAACGAATTTGAAGAAATTGAATTTTTTAAATATATCTTATTCAAGTTTAATATTAATATTAATTTTAAAATATTGAATAAATAGCGTATTTTGGAACTATTCAAAAAAAATATTGATACTATTGTTAGCTCTTCTTAAAAAATCAAAAATATAACCTCGCTACTATAGATAGTTACTTTTAATAGCTACTATAACATTGATAATTTTTATTTGGAGAGATAAATTTCAAAAAATTAATTTAGTTGTTGATTTGATTTAAACTCAACTCCAAAAATTATTTTTGATTTTATAATATAATTTAACATTGTTAAGAAATAATTTCTTAAATCATAAAATTAAGTTTAAAATTGTGATCAAATAAAGGGGAAAATTCAGTTTCATCTATCAATAAATTAAGGATAGAATTCTGATTCCCTGTCATTTTTAACGGGTTATCAATTAGTTATTTATAAAGAATGGTACAATAGTAAAAAAAAAATAATAACGATAATTACAAGATGAACAAAAGATATGCTAAGAAAAAGGCACAAAAAAAAGGCACAAAAAAAAGGCACAAAAAAAAGGCAAGAGTTTGCTAAAGAAATGGAATGAGCTGAAGGAATGGAAAATGTGAAATGGCAAAGCAGATGGCAAAGCCAGGATGTGGTAGGTGTTAAATAATATGGAAGGAAATGATTGATAGTAATGATATTAAGAACACCTGGAAGATCTACTTGGAAGGAATTTTGAAAATGGCATAATAATGTTAGTTGTGCAAAGATAGAAGGTCCAGGATGTAAATTTGGCAAGGACGAAATAAAGAGAACAGTGAAAAAGATGAAAAAAAAGGCATCGGGTTTAACGAGGGTGGTTCAGAAATGTTTAAAGGTGCTGATAACTTAGGGATTGAATGGTTAATAAATTTAGCCAATTGAATTGTCACAGATGGAACTATCCCGAGGACGGGCGAAGAAGCATAATTATTCCAGTATACAAGGGAAAAGGTGATATTTTAGATTGCGGGTCTAACAGAACTATTAAATTGTTGGATCATGCAATAAAGGTAGTTGAAAAGGTGTTAAAGCGGATAAGGGAACAAACTAAAATTGATGAAATGCAGTTTGGTTTTACATCGGGGAAAGGCACGACAGATGCAATTTTTATGGTGAGACATATATAGGAGAAGTATTTTGCAAAAGAAAAGACTCTGTATTATGCGTTTGTTGATTTGAAGAAAGCATTTGACAGAGTGCCGCGCGAGGTTACTAGATGGGCCTTGAGAAAATCAGGTGTGGGAAATGGTTGGTTATGGTAATTATGACAATGTATGTGGAAGTACAAACTGCAGTAAGGACAGATGAGCAGATAGTGAAAGCTTTGAATTGAAGATAGGGCTTCAAGGATCCGTGCTAAGTCCATTATCACTTAGCTTAGTAATAGATGTGGTGGCTAGAATCCGTGAAGGACTTCCCTGGGAGCTATTATATGCTGATGATCTTGTATAAATGGCAAACAGTGAGTAAGAATTGAGGGATAAAATTAGTAAATAGAAGATAGCTATGGAAGCAAAGGGCCTGAAAATGAATGCAGCAAAAACAAAGGTGATGATTGGTGGGGAACTTCCAAAGATGGAGGAACCCGGTAAGTGGCCTTGTGGTGTATGTGAGAAAGGAGTTTCTAGAAATTTAATCCAATGCACCAGATGCTAGAAATGGGTACATAATAGATGTAGCAGGAAAAGGGAAGTTTGATGTTAGCAAGAATGACCTTTATTTATAGAACGTGCATTAAAGGGGTACATAATAATGATAACATATAAAATGGTGGTCTGGATATTGGCAATAGGTTAACCCTAAGTAATATGGATAAGTTTTGTTATTTGGGTGATATGCTAAACGCAGATGGTGATGTAGATTCTGCCGTTGTTGCCAGGGTCAGACAAGCTTAGAAGAAGTTCAGAGAAATGTCATCTATTCTAACAAATAAAAAAGTCTCCCTGAAGTTAAAGGAGAAAGTTTAAGTATGCTATGTGAGGATATGTTTGGTATATGGCGGTGAAACATGGGCAATAAAAGCGACTCACGACACGAAGCCAAACAGAGATGAGGATGATTATATGGATGTGTGGGGTATCTCTGAGAGAGAAAAACTAGCAAGGAATTGCGAGCAAGTTGGGTATAGAAATGATTAGAGTGGTAATGCAACAAAAATATGATAAGGATAAGATAGTTTGGGCATGTGGAACGTAAAACAAAATATTACTGGGTCTGATGGAAGTAGGAGAATCAAGACCTAGAGGAAGGCACAAGATGACGTGGACAAATGTGATAGCGGCGAATATGAGAAGCATAAGTCTTATAAATATTGATGCTCAGGACCGTTAAAAAAGAAAAATCAGAGGGAAAACTGGCCTACCTGGGTAAACCTGGAAGTCGTCATAAAACGGAGAAGAAGAATTTATAATGATTTAATTATATATTTTGTATATAAATTATTAAAATCTAACAATCCTTATTTTAATTATATATTTTTACATAGATGTAATATCAGCTCATTAAATAAATTTTGCTCACTTCGAAATTTGAATTTTAATAATTGAATCCTAAGCTTTAAACATACCATACATAGGTCTAATAAAAATTGTATCTGTATATAGGTCCATTTTTGCAAGATGTATCTGCATCTAGATACATTTGGAAAGTTATCTTTTAACAATCTGCTACAGGCGCGTACGCAGGAATTTGGTCTGGGGGGGGGATAATAAATTTTTTTAGGAAATATTATTGTTTTTTAAAAATATCAAGCATAAATTTATTAGACTAATAACTATTTCTAATACACAATTTAAAATTAATGTGAATTATAAAAAAATTATATGTAAAGAATCACTTAAATGATCCAAAATAGAAATTTGAATTTTATGAGCCTTTACACAAAAAGTTTCTGGAATAATTGCATTTTGTATGTTATATATTTACAATGTAAAATCCGATCTTCGTTGTGATTGAGCTAATTTATCAATTATCTCCCTAGCTTGTCGTCAAATGCATATGAATATTCACAAGATTCTTTTTAAATATACCCGGGCCGGGCCCGAAATATTTTAAAAAAACACCCAAGCCGGGCCTGAATTATTTTAAAAAAACACCCAATCCGGGCTGTATTTTTTAAAACAGCCTATATTTGAAATCGTTATTATTAGCTATGAAAATCAAAAATAAATATAATTTATTTTAAAAAAATCTGGGCCGGGCCTGAAAATTTTATTTTAAAAAAAGCTGGGCCTGGCCTGAAACATTTTTTAAAAAAGCCGAGTCTGGCCTAAAAAAAATTTTAAAAAAAGCCGGGCTTGACCTAAAATTTTTTTTAAAAAAACCCAGGCTAGGCCGTAAAAAATCTTTAAAAAAAATCCGGGCCGTACCCCGCAAATGGTACTTCTGCAGGCCTCTGTTATTCTTCTTAAAAAAAATGTTCTCTCATTAGTTTACTAATGGAAAGAGTTTATAAACCCTTTTAATACATTGGGAATTTAATCTAAAATGTGTTTGAAATATGCAGAGCATTCATAGCATTTTTTGGGACTATATCAACCATTGTTAATCTTATAAACATAGTTATTCAGCTAGTAAGGCATCATAAGATATTTAACATCTTCATAATAAAAATCTAACAAATATTTTTTTTTCTATCACCATCTGAAAAAGGTTGGGAAGGCTTTTGTGGAAGTAATATTTGCAGATTAGTAAGTGCTGCATGATGAATTAAAATTCATTTATTTGGGTTATAAATGTATCTATATTTAAGATATACTCTTCTACTGATCCTATATTAATGTTTTAACGATGAGCTTGCCTTGCTACAAGTCGAGGGAGACAAATATTAAACAAGTCTCTGCTTTGACTCAACAATAAAATATAAAATATGAAATTCTTCATCAACATTAGCCCTAATTTCCTTGAGTTCTGATAAAATGCTCTCCGCTATTCTCATCTTCTTAATCCAGTCAATGTCATGTTTTTGAAAAGTAATACTTAAAATAATTGTATAATTAAATAATACATTCTAATGAGAAATAAAATTTGGAATAAGCATTGAATCCAATAATTTTCTTGCTTCTGAGGAAATATTTCTTTCAGGCCATTGTAATATTTCAGTAATAGCAAATAATTGGCTCTTCTAACTCCTTAAAAGCGGTTACTGCTTGATGGCAGAGACTCTATCTCATTGGACAAGGTTGCAATTTCTTTTTCCCTGTTGGACAAGAAGTTTCAGAAATTATTATTATTTGACTATAAATTTGAAAATGGTAGATAAATATTACGCCACTAAAAATTTGAAAATAATAAGTAAATATTACGCCGGAAAACTTGAAATCGAAATTAATTGATAAAATAACTTAGTAGATAAATGTGATAATAAATATAATTAAATATATATTTAATATGAGATACGAATAAATATTAACAAATATAAATTAATATAAACAATAATATTTTAGAAAAATATATCCGGAATCTGCATTTTTTGGCTTTGGTGCCCCCCCCCCCCGCTGCGTACGCCAATGCTCTGCTATAATTGTACAATTAAAAATCTTTAAAAAAGAGTTTTAATAATAAAAAAATGTAATATTTATACCATTTAAAAAATATAACCTGGCCAAAGATTTAAAATGCAAAAGTCATATACGCCCCCCCCCCCCCCACCACCCTAGCGACGTTTAAATTACAAAATTATATTTTTGAATTGTTAAGTATAAATTTTCTCCTATAAAAAAGTTTTACATATATTTGGAATTCAATTCAAAAAAACACAAATCAGGAAGCTAAAACAGAAAATGGTAAACGGAGAAGGCGCAAAAGTTCGATATTTAACCCTTTGAGAGATCGTTCGCTTAAGGCTAAAGGGGCGCTTAAAGATGACATTAGTGGGGATTCGAATATTTACCTCAATCCAATGTTCGATGCAAAATCTCAACAGCTTTACCCGCATCACATGATCACACCATCTACCCCACTAAAACCGAACTTATTTGATATAGCTAGAATGGCCGAGTAATAAAATTAATTAATTATAACTTTTGTATTTACAAATGAAATTTAGTTAGATGAAGAATGAATTAAATTATGTCTATAATATGATTATATAATAAATATTCTTATACATAGAAATATATAGGAATGTTTCCAGGATGGAGGTTATAAATATTTAAAAACATAATATTATTTATACAGGTTAGAGTGAACAGATACTGATAAAAAATATAAATATCCACTGCACATAAGACATTTAGAAGTGAGGGGGGTGGGGCAATAGAAATATAAATATAAAAGAAAAATAGAATCATTTTAGATCAGTTGATGTTGAAAATTATTAAATAATGAGACATTATAACGTAAATAAACGATCAACACAATTATAGAATCGATAATATGGAAAGTATTTATAAAATATTTTAAAGAGTTTTATATGATATACTAGATGATAACCTGTCAACAATTACGGGGAATCAGAATTTTCTTCTTTACTCAATGATTTTTTGGAAAAACCCACAGATGGCAGATTCAAGAATTGCTGTCATAAGGGTATTTGAGGATTATTATAATAGATAAATTGAGCACATATATAATTTTTACAGATTTTTAATAGCCCTCAAGAATGACAGGGAATAAGAATTTTTCTTTATTCAATGATGGATGAATAATAAATTTTACCTTTATTTGGTGATGAATGAATCAGAAATTCCTATCTTATGATGTTCTAGCAAGAAAATATTTTTTATATTATAAATTAAATGAATAAAAATTTAGTTTAAAAGATTTTTTATTGTGCACATAAATTAAAATTACTAACCATATACTTCATAAACATATTTTATAAAAAATAATGTAAAATTTTAGAATAACCCCTCATCTAAATAAATATAAATTTCTGAATCACATCTCATAAGATAAGGGCCGTAGCCAGGAATTTTTCGTTAGGGGGGGGGGCACTATTTTTTAAATATAAAACAAATAAATAAGCATTCATAGAATTTTTTTTGCTATTTTTATTAAAAAATTATTAATGTTATATGAATACAAAATAATACTATAATATGAACATACAAAAATAATACTATAATATAATATGACGATTTTTATTTTTAAATTTTAACATAAATGAATTAAAGGATAAATTTCGTGTTATTTTTTTCATAAGCCATCAATACTAAATTTTGCTTACTTTGATCTTTCATCGACCTTCTAGTGCTCGATAGAACTCTCTTTATTATAGAGAAAGAAGCCACACAAGAAGCCGTTGTTGCCCCAATGCTGAGTAGCATTTATACAATTCTTTAAATGCATGATGATATTTTTGTATACATAATATTTAGGATATTTTCAAAATTATGTGTTTCCTTAACTTAGCCAATTTTCATTTCATGATGTAAAGTTTCCATATTTAAGTTTAATAATTATTCTAATCGGGCCATTTTGTACGATATAAAATAATCACTATCAAAGGGGGACAATGCATTAAAACTTGATAGATGATTATAATCATCTTGTGTAAATCTATCTAAAAAATTATCAACAAAGTAATCAATAATTTCATGCTAATTCTATTTTAAAGAACTCCAATTGGAGTCGTTTTCGCAATCAAATTGTAATTTGGTTTCGACTAAAAAATCTTGGAATTTATGTTTTACGTATGCTTGATGATTTGTGGGGTAGAGATTAAATTTTGTTAAAAGTTTTTAAGCCTTTATTCTAATCAAATCAATACAATTATAGCTTCTTATATTTTTTAAATATATTGATAGTGGAATCTATACAATTTTTACATCCACTTGATAAGTACCTACTAACTGTAGATACATAATGGATCTATTGTTATTAATATCTCATAAATTATAATGGCTAATATAATATAATTTATATTAACGTAATGAGATAAAAGACCAGAGGCTTTGACAGAATCATGAGTGCTAACCTCTGAATTAAAAGTTCTATTAGAAAAGTAAACTAATACTTCACCAATAGCCTCAAAATTAACATAAATGATGTGAGATGTTTCTAAATGACTAGTCCACCTCTGGTCTAAAAGTCTTTTAAGTATGGCCTGCATATTTACAGGATACATTAAACTGCCTAAAAAATTATGCAAAGCATTGAATAAATTAAAAAAATTAGAAATGATAACAATATTATATACTAATTTTGAACCACAAGGTGCAACATGTAGTTGTAGCAATGTATAAAAGGAGCTTTTTTTTAAATTTTATTTTGAAATAGGGTTTGCACTCTTCCATTTCGGCCAGACATAACGTTTGCACCATCATATGCCTGGTTTATCATATTCGAATTAATATTTAACTCATTAAGTTGCTTTAAAATGCAATTAGTAATGCTTTTAGCAGAAAGACACTGTAAATTAATAATCCCTATTAAATTTTCTAAGACTTCTCCAGAAAAAATATATATAATTATGCTCAGGGTTTCAAAACCTGATGCATCTTTTGTCACATCAGCCGTAAGACAAAATAAAAGGCATCTCACTTTTATTATATTTATCTGAAATATAATCAAGCATCATATCTACCATAATAGATATTACTTCGTTTTAAATCGGGTGATGATCGCGTATTTTTGTATATAAATTTCGTAATTTTATTTAATTCAGGATCTTTTTGGATGGTGTATGAAAACATTGCTATAAAAAGTCCAGAAAGAATAAATTATGTTTTCTACATTTGCAGCATCCGTAATTTTTGTTGAACCAGTCCCAGGGAAAGGTAGCTTCTTATGTTAAGAAATATCATGAAATATTTCTTTAAGATCCTAAAGATTACGGTAAATTTGTTGGTTTATCAAAATTGTTGTTATCTCAGTATTTTCTTTATAATGCTAAAATATTCACCGCTCTTTTAAATAACTGGTTATATCGGGCTTAGATAATATTATTTTGTCTAAGATCTTAATCGGACCATTTTCAAAAATCGGCCCAAATCAAGTTGTTTAGCAACACTGCACAATAATTACCAAATTTTTTAAAAATTTAATAAGAAACTTTTTTATTTTAATAAATATTTACGGATCGGTATCAATCTGTTTCCTTATATTTGATATATATATATATCAAGCCTTGAGTAACCACTTGATTAGCTTCAGAAAATCTTGGTTTTTTATGATTTGCACACAGATCATAATATTGTGATTGAACCATACTAAATAAAATAATTATCATTGAAATAAGTACAATTTAAACTTTATAATTAAGCACCTATATAATGTTATACACAAACACACAAGAATGATAAAATATGAATGAATGATGATTTATTATTGGATAAAAATAAAACAGAATAGGAAAAAATTCATAAACAAGACATTTTTTTTGAATAAATATTTAAAATTTATTATAAAAATAAACAATTACAAATTTTTTTTTTAAATTTGGGGGGCCGAAAAAATTTATGGGGGCCATTTTTGCGGGGCAAAAATTTTTCCCGTGACTACGGCCCTGCATAAAATAGGAAAATTTCTGATTCAATCATCATCAAATAAAGGTAAAATTTATTATTCATCCATCATTGAATAAAGAAGAAAATTCTGATTCTCCGTCATTCTTGACAGGCTATTCTTATATTTTTGATAACGGGTTCTTTAAAAATCTGTAAATTTAATGCAAGGTCACAACAGGCATTATTTATTTTGGTTGTTTATGCTAAAAAAAATGGATTAATATTTTCTCCATATATACACTTCACAATGGCTTACTTTATTTCCATGTGTCCAACGATTTTTTGAATCCAGCAATTATCAGAAATTTTTTTGCAAATGATTTAAATAAAGCATATCTATGGTTTGCTCACTCCTTCAAGTTCAAATAAAGTTAGATGGGAAATGAAATAAATCAGTTATTGAAATTAGAGACCTTCACGGGCCTTGATTTATTTATCAGCCTCCAGCCCAGGTCAGCAGTAATAATTTACAGGCCCATTCCATATTTAATAAAAAAATTCAAACCCAAGCCCATCATAAGTTTCAAATATTTTGCCCAAGCCCATATCCAAAAATTTAATTTATTGCTATAAATGAATATAAACAATATTCAAGTGTTAGGCATTCACTTTGTTTGCAATACTGAAATTTAATATCATTAGAAAAAAAAAATGCAATATATTTTTAAGTTAGTCACAATTTAATAGGCTAATTTTAAAGAAATATTTTTAGGCTTTTTATCAAAACCCAGTCCAGGCTTAGGCATATTAGTAAATATATTATTTATGCTAAAAAATGGATTTTCTACCCTTCACGGCTTTCTTTATTTACTTGTGTCCAACAATTTATTGAATCCAGCAACAGAAATATTTTTGCAAATAATTTAAATAAGGCATATGAAAGTTTACACATCAAAAATAAAATAGGATATACTGAAATAAATAGGGTTTACTTTGGTGTTCAGCAACAAATATTTTAAAAATATTATCTAAAAAATTTGTTGAAAAAAAGAATATTTTCCCCTCAGTGGCAAATTTGATATTGATATTGTGTTGAGTATATTCGCCATATTATAAATATGGGAATTACTAATGGCTTTAAATTGCTATTATCATAGGACAAATATTTTTTAAAAAAACACTATTGGTTAAATTTCGACGTTTTTGAGGATTATTATAATAGATAATAGTATTAATGTTGATTCAGCTATGGTTACTATATCCATTAGGTAAGGACCCCCCCCCCCCCGGTTCGCAACAATTCTTTAATTAAATAGTGATAATTTTTATTGCACTATTAGATAAAGATTGAAGGGTTTATATTGTGAAATAAATTATTGTATACTTACAAGAAAAAAATTTAAATATCTAGATTTATATAACTTTTTTATTTATTATATCCTAATCAATTACGGTTTGGTTTGCCGCTTATGTAAAAATCAAATTTAAACCAACATTTGAATAATATTATTTTAACAGTACCTTTTTGAGATTGATTTTCAGTAGAATCAACTTAACCTTATTTTTGCATTTGGTTAGATAATTTAGATATACTATACACAATAGGTT